ATAGCTGATCCATGTTTCTCTCTCTTTCTCTGAAATCAATAATATATTCTTAAAAAAAATAGAGGTACAGAAATATCTCAGCTTTGCTCAGATGAAGAAAATCATGAAAAAACTGAGCTGCAGATGCAGAGGGGAAGAGGCAATGAATTGAGGATAAGCTGATAAATTTTAAAATTCACCAACTCTACCAACAGTTCTAACACCAGGTCCTCTGCAGTGACTCTGCTAATGCACAGAACTGAAAACTGGCAAGGCAAAAAGGCAGTGGGGCTCAAAACCTCAACCCTGTAATACTTGTATGACAAGACTCGAAATAGAGAAAAATTTTAACATTGCAACCTAGGCTTTTCCTATAACTTGACAGGAGATTCGAAGTGCAGAGCAGATGAAAAAATGGAAAGAGAGGCTTGAGAAAAAGTATTATTCTACAGAAATTCAAGATGACTACCAGCCTGTCACTCAAAAAGAATTTCGAGAGTAAGTATTTGTTCTCAGCAGGGTACTAGGGATTACCATGACATGGGGATTGGGGACGTGAGTTAGACACATTATTTTCCTGAACCCAAAACCTATTCTAAGATGCCACTTTTTTCCCCCCAATTTCTTTTACTCAACTTTAAACAGGAAGCACAAGGCTTCATTTGTTTAAATGTAAGAGTGAAGCCAACTGCTTTTACCCTTACATTTCTATAAAGGAACTGCCATTTACACTTGGTGTGTGCAGCAGATGCTGTTCTTCACACAGCTTTAGAATATTAGACCCGTAAATGACCACACTAGGCATGTTTTAGGAGCTTAAATACTGCTGTTCTACTCAAAGCATTTCACAATAGGCACTAATAATCTGCTGTCTCTTTATGCACAAAAGTGTGTTAGACTCATTCTCTACTTCTTTCTAAATTATCCTTAGCCTCTTTTTATATGCTGTGGAGCTGGAGAAAGAATTACACTACATCAGTTTAAAATTAAACCGAGTGATGAGAAAGGTTTCAGCTCTGCCCTACTGAGACAAGTGGAGGTGAGAATCTGTGATGCAGTCATTGTACATTTCTAACAAAGGCTCATTCCTGTACTGATTTCCTAAACTTGTCCCCATTTCCAATATACTTTAAAAGCACTAAACCACCTATCATCAAAATATTGCCAGAGTCAATGATAATCATCAAATGATTTCTGGGACTTAAGTGCCCCTGGAGGCGACCTACTATACAATCCATGTATATTACAACATGCCTCCAAAGTACATACATACTGGTTCACACGGACGATTTTATAATGTTGTTATTAAATTCTAGGAATATGAAGGGAAAAGTATAAAATAATGCTTATAGTTCATGGTGCAGGTCTCTAACCAACAGTTCAATACGTAGGTAAAGACAGTTTTCTCAATGTTCCACAGAGTGTAAGAACTGTCAGTGCTCTCACCATGTACCATGTTCCAAGTTCCTCTAACAGGTAATAAATGCACAGGACTCTGCAAAGCCATCATACGATGGCTAAAGTAAAATAATCTCATCTCCACTCTTTCCAATTTGAAGTCTCCTATAAAAAGCCAAAGTGTTAAAGAACTTTCAAATCACCTACAGAAATTTTACTAATACCTTTGAACTGGAAATTCATCTACACGGTTTCTAAAGTAGCATCTAAAGTTTCCCCAAAGTGCTTCCTCAACTACTTTAAAAGCAAAATACACTTTAAAAAATAAAGAGCAAGGTAGGAGTATCAGGGTTATAAAAAGTCAAGTTGTGTTTGGAAAGTGTAAATGAGGCTACTGCAAAAGCTCTGTTGGATGGTTGGAAAGTTATGAATGGCTGGGATTCTGGAAACTAGAAGGAAACTTCTCTAATTTTTTTTAGGTTACATAAACCCTCCTAGAAGAAACTTGTTCTCTTAGCCCAAGCAACAGCATTTGACCATAGTACTCAATTTCCACATTGCTGTTCAACAGTTCTGGATTTTAAAATTTGAATAAAGGGAGTTTTAAATCTACCCACCTTCCCCAGGCCAAACTCTTAAGAGACTGTACACCAAGTTTTCTTAATAGGATAATTCAAAGCAACAAGAAATGCTGACTATCCTCTCTGTATCTTCTCCTACATTCTCACAAGGGAAACAACATGGCCTTTCCCTGTCTTACCACTCCCCAGAGCTGGAGCCAGCCAGATGGTTTACTAACCCTGTTGTCCCCACATATAACCGCAGGTTGGGGTAATTCAAACAAAGTCTGAGGACGTTAAGACAAGGGAACACTTGAGGTCTCTCTTTTTCCCTTTTCAACATCTAGTGGGGGGGAAAAAAGCAAACATTTACAATGACTTAGAACATTAAAGTTCTTTTATTACAAAAGTCTATACAATGAAGTGCCAGACACAGCAATGCAATTACACTGGTGGTCACATATATCTATATATTGTTTGTATATAGATATACAGTGTTTACTTGTACCAAAGTAAAACTATCACAAACTGCCTAATGCTACCACCTACTGCTCAACTCTGACACACAACACTGTGGTCACATAGCGTAAGTGCTGCCATGCCACTGTTACCTATTCTACTCACAGCCAAACATTAACAGTGAGTAACCAACATCATGAAGCAGCTGTTAATTTTAAAAGGAAACCAGTCAGGCCACTGACTTATAAAAATATGGTACTCATATAGATTTAGCATTATAAAGAAGGAATATATTATTTAAAACATTTAAATAGTGCATATGGACATTTTTGCATGTGGTATATAAAATAAGACATTCATATAAAACAATACACAGCGCACATTAAATTAGATGTTTGGATATACTCCTGTCTGGAGACTGGGAGAAATTAACTAAATGCACACTGCACAATGGATTCGAATCCTAATGATCTTTTGGCATTTTCAATGTCACTTTTCTAGGTATACATTAGGAACAACCTAGCTGTACCAAAAGGAAATGACACACAAAGAAAGGGCTGGGTTAGTGCTTTATTCCTTAACTACGTGTTCACTACCAACAAATATTCCCTCCCCGCAAAAAAGGCATTGCATACACAGGTGAAAGGTGAAGTACTAGAAACACTACTGATTACCAAGCTACTTCATGTGCTCACTATGTAACAGCGCCGGAAGTCTGAGGTTCATGCTTCCCTCATCTTATTAAAGGATGATGCAAAAGTCCATTTTTGTATGGAACAAAGTGTTAATATTAGCTAGTTAAGAAAACCATGCATGAGTCACTGCATGCAAACCATGGGCACAATCAAAGTGAGACACTCATCATTCCAAAAAAGCACCAGAAAAAAATGAACACTTAGATCGAGCCTGACCGGAATATGCTATTAATGACTGTTATATTGTTAGCACAAATAAAGTCATCATTCTGTGAAAATGATTAGCAGAATGATACCACGTGAGTACCTGAAAAGCCATGCAAAGCCAAAGAAAAAAAGATGTTTAGAGTATATGACAAGGGGTATACCACTACAAATCTTGTGACCAACACTTTAAACAGCATGTGACTGAGCAAAAGGTGGTCCCTATAAAAGATGTTTTCTTTATGGATTTTGCTGATTAAGAGAAAAAGGATGCAACCCCTTGAAGGTACATGTAAAAATGCAGTGGTATAGCCCTTGTTAAGAATAGACTTACTTCAGGCATAATGATTCTTTTGCCAATTTAGGACATTTGATCGAACACACAAATATGCTGAGTACCATCAGAGTTCCTACATACTGACATGGCTCTTTGCTCACATTATATGGAGGTGGGTAGGAAGAAAAACCAGAGGTTCTGATCCAGACAAATTACATCATCACCAGCTGATAAACAGTAGCTGAGAAAACAAACAGTAACTTAAGTCCCATAGGCAGCATGTTGTATGATTCATTTCTGTGTGTATGCGTGATGTGTGTTTTCACTATACTAATAAGCAAGGTCACTTTTTGGTCTACCCTCTGTTATCTTGATCCAGAAGCTGTGTGACCACTGAATTGCAAAATTTTGTTAACATACTACCTGTGAAAAAGTGTTACTTTGGGAATTAAACAGAAATGTGCTCCACAGTAGGACTTGAAATTTCAGTTGATTTTGGTTTTCTAAGAAAACATAGAACATAGTTGCATATGTGCACATTTATAGGCTTTTCTTTCAAATTTTCAGTCATTCTGTAAGAAAAAAGCAACCGAAGAATTCAATGTGAAGATTTTTCCTCTTAATTTTCTTCAGTAATGAAAAAAATAATAAAGTTGGTAAAAACAAAAAGCTTGTACTTCCAAAGTTCTTGAAGTTGAAAGAATAAAATACTAGTCTTTTGCTAACAGGATGTATCTGTAGTACAAAACAATGAAGAAAACCGGATGTTTGCTAAAGGTCGAGAGGACAGTCTGTGGCTAATATGGAACATTGTGCTCCCTAGAGAGGGTCTACTTACCCCCCATCATTTCTCTAGTGGCACCACAACCAAGTTACAAAATGAGACTCTGAGTGCCTGACAAAATGAACTCAAGTACCAGCCAAGTACACACGATGATAGCTTCAGGGAATACAACTGATTTTATGATGTTTCAAGGATCATATTTTAAATGGATTTTGAAGAATCCTGTTTGCTGATAAGAACTTCAAGAAGCCTAAGCTTGGCTTTAATTTTCTTGTACTCCCTGTACTCCTCAAGCACTGGAGCACGATCCTCTTTCTGGGCATTCCTAGGGGAGAAAATAAAATGTGTAATAATCTAGAGATCATCTGGAAAATAAAGTCCAAGAAGTTGTCCTAATGTGAGACAATGTTACCAAATACAAAATAAAAAATTGCTCTGTAACAAAAATATATTATTGAACTAATTCCCCCCATCCCCAAGGAACATTCCTGAAATACTTCTTTTCTGATGGATTTTTCTAATGACAGGTTAAATGATACTATACTGATCAATGATCATTGTGGATAACTAGAAGTAATATTTTATCTTATTTGTTAAGAGGTAATATTTTAATAAGACATACATTGCTAGACTCGGTCAGGTCTGATAGTGTATGTATATGTTAAGTGCCAGAGGGCTACAATGAGTCATTTCATACATTAACTCTGGCTTCAGTGAGTTAAGACGTAAAAGTAAAACATCTTACCTGTGGCAGCAAGTAAGTAGTTTCCTAACTTTATATTATTAATGACCCAATGCAATCCAGTTTAATCATGAGGTAAAGCATCAAACCATCCTAGGTATAATAATTATAAGCAAAGTTTTCTTCCAATAAGACAAAGAACCAGAAGGAAAATTTATTCCTGTACTTAAGATATTTTTAAACCACTTCTGCTAACCTATATAGAGAACTCTCAAATTATTTAAAGTAAACACATTTTAGAATTTTCAATATAGCCACTGGCTGGTAAAACCACCCAGTTACATGGAAAAACTTTGAGACCTGAGATAGCCCTAATTTCTGGCTACCATTTGAATTAGAATGTTATTTTTCTTACTTTAAAAAGAGTCTCACTGGGTCAACTGTGCATTATTCAGTTAGATAAAGGCAACTTGTCGTACTGTATTATAGGAGCCACATGACTGCCACTCTGTGACACACCTTGGAAATGGGCAGCTTGGAACGAACAATGCGGCTTAAGCAACGATGGTCTCAGTTATGAGAGTCCAAACCAACTGAAGATATCACTCATGTTATGAGACCCTTTCTAAAAGAAGAAACATCTTGGTCCACAAACACTTCCAAAAGGGTGAGGGCATAGTATAAAAGAACATAAAATAGCTGCCACTCAACAAAGCCTCCTTAGGAAAACCTTAGAATATCAGATGTTGTTTACTTGGGCTCTGACTTCTTCTTGCCATTAATAGTAGAACTTCAAAATAGAAAAAAGTTTTTTACTTTTATTTTCAATGTTAATATCCTTATATGCACAATTTATTTCTGATCCTATACATTTAACATATGAGCACTTGTGAGTTTAAGAGAACTCAATTTTGCGATGCTCAACAAACCTTCCATTTTGTTGATAAAATGCTTCTTCAAATTCCCGTAATGTCTTACGTAGTTTCTTTTTTTCAGCTCTGGCTTTCCAAAGTTGTTCCAGTAATTCAGGCCTAAAATTGAAATAGGAAGAAAACATTATTGAAAGGGCACTGCTGATTCATTATGTTCTTAATAGTGGTTTGAACCCTGGCTACACCCAAACCAACTAAATCAGAATAGCTGCCGGTAGGGCTCTGCAGTAATACTTTAAAAAAAAAAAAATCTTCCCAGGTGACCCTAAAGTGAAGCCAGGGCTGAGAACCACAGTCAGACACCGTATCAGGTAAAGAAGCTGACAGAGAACTTAATTAACAGATAACTGTAAGCTGGTTCCAGCACTTTATTATGCAGCAAATACAGAATTTTAGTTTTTAAAATTTTTCAAAACACACTAATATTTAATTTAAAAAAATGTGAACTGGCTCAGCAGTTGAGCATCGACACAGGATCCAGGAGATGGCGGTTCAATTCCCGGTCAGGGCACATGCATGGGTTGCGGGCTTGATCCCCAGTGGGGGTCGTGCAGGAGGCAGCTGATCAATAACTCTCTCATCAGTGATGTTTCTCTCTCTCTACCCCTCTCTCTTCCTCTCTCTGAAATCAAAAAAATGTGAATTGGACATGTATTTACAAATCACATTTTTTAAAAAAGGATGTATCTCTTGAGCACTGTATTAATTCCTTCCAAGTGCTCAATTATTTAACATTTAATTTCTTGGCATATAAGTTATATTATACAAAAAGGCTAAAATCACAAACTAGCCAACATACATAGACGCTGCTCGAGTACTTGACAATCGGAGATCCAGAGCCAGTTTTTCTTGATTTTCCTCCACATCAGATTCTGAGTTTTCTAATGAAGACTGTGCCTGTACAGCAGTTTGCAAGATATCAGTTAACTCAGAGGACAGACTAACACCATCTTCTTCTTCTTCCTAAAAAGATATTCAAGCAAAGAATCAAACAGGCCATGACTTTCAACTTTTCCTTTAGAAAAGAGATCAGACAATAATTTCTCTTAAGGATTACCTTGATTTCTTCAAAAAAATGTGCAGTTTCTCCTTCTATGATCGGTTGTAACATCTGACCCCTGCGCTTGGTGGATGGAGATCCCTATAACAATCAACATACAAATGGTTTACAGTTCAAATATTAAAAGTGTTCAATGAAGCTTCACCTTCACTGATATTAAACTTTATTTTCAAAATCCTAATCATTTATGCTTTTAATTATTTAGAAATTCCT